TGTCCAGCTGATATATGTTTATTTTTAGTAGAGACAGGGTTGTTGCCCAGGTGTTGCCCAGGCTGGTCTCCCTCTTGGGCTCAAGCGATCCTCTTGCCTCAGCTTCCCAGAGTCCTGGGATTATAGGCATGAGCCAGCCTGGTGAGTTTTGGAAACAACTGTGAGCTGGACAGCACTTGTTCCCAAGGTCCGTGTGTCAGTCTTGGCACCTAGATGGCCTAGCATCTGCGCGTGGTGATGTTTCTTCATTGGCGCCTGTGTGGGGTGTACAGGCTCATTTATGGAACAGCTCATAGCCCGCCTCCCATCCGAGAGTGTCCTTCCTGAGCCTGGAGGATGTGACAGGGTGACGCATGATGCCAGGGAGGTGCCAGGCGTAGCGCCTTCCTCTCCTTTGCTCTCACCCAAGCCTGGTCCTTAAGTGGTTAAGACCTGCAGTGCCTTAACCCCTTTGCTTTCTCTCAGTCCCCTCCCATCCTCATTTCCTTCCCTGTGAAAAGGACAGACCCGTCAGACTTTACCTTAAGATTCTCTCTGCTGTCTTCACCTTCATTGCCTTGTTGCTCTTCCTTCTCTCCTTGCAGCCACTGAGGGGGGTCAGCCTGATGTTCACTGCCGCATCCACACCTTGATTGCTCCATATGGACGGACGTCTCACTGCCTTTTAGAGGGGCCTCCGCAGACTCTAGGTCTTTGACTAATTTGGGCTCTTATTTTTTTTTTCTATCTTTCCTCCACAGAGGAATTATTCTTAAGTGTAGACCTGATCATGGTGTTGCCCTGCCTAAAACCTTTGGGAGGCTAGTTCAAATGTGGTTGTGACTTCTGTCAATTTTTCATAGTTACAGATCGAACTCCTCCTTCTGCTCTTTCCCTCCTTCTCACTGCTGCTGTTGACTAGTTTAAAAAACAAAAACCAGCTGGCAGGGTTGCTCATGCCTGCAATCCTAGCACTTTGAGAAACAGATGGGAGGCCTTCTTGAACTCAGGAATTGAAGACCAGTCTGGGCAACATAGTGAGACCCTCTCTCTGTAAGAAGTTAGCTGGATGCAGTGGTGTGCACCTTTAGTCCCAGCTATTTGAGACGCTGAGTTGGGAAGATCATTTAAGTCCAGCAGGTCGAGGCTTCAGTGAACTGTGATCATGCCACAGCACTCCAGCCTGGGAGACAGAGGGACACCCTATCTCAAAAAAAAAAAAAGAAAAGAAAACAAACCCAACCCTTTAGAGCGGGATTGTCCAATCTTACGGCTTCCCTGGGCCACATTGGGAAAATAATTGTCTTGGGCCACACATAAAACACACTAACAATAGCTGATGAGCTAAAAAGAAAAATAAATAGTTGCAAAAACAAAAAATCTCATGATGTTTTAAGAAAGTTTACGAATTTGTGTTGGACTGCATTCAGAGCTGTCCTGGGCTGCAGGTTGGACAAGCTTGCTTTAGAGGCTCTCTGGGACCCTCAAAACCAACCAGTAGCGCAAGCTCAGTCTTCTGTGTCTTACAGAATGTATGCCTTTACTCAGCCCTGCCCCATTTCCTAGGCGCTCCACAGTCCAACCGCTTTGAGCTGCTTTTCCTTCTTTATATGTACAGCTCTCTCGCCTCTGAGCCTCCACATCTTCTGTTCCCCAGCACTCTCCCTGCTTGCCTTCTCCACCCTGGCTCACTGCCGATCTGTGTTTAGGCTCTTTGGGAAGCCCTCTCTTTCACCCCGTTCCCCTGGTCTGGCCTGGAAGCCCGTCCTTACCCCTGCCAGGGCACCTTGAAACCTAGGAATGAAAACATGACACTTCTCTGTCTGGCTGATTTTCTCAGTTGAAGCAAGGCAGGAGTTTTGTTTGTCAGGACTTAGGCAAGCAAAATTCAGAGGAGACTTTTAAAGCATTTTTTATCATTTAAGCAGTCTAACTGTTGGTGCTGTTAAGAATTGAGTGTTCTTGTTGAAGAACTGTTTACTGGTTTGGGAGGGACAGGGTTCCGGTCATGCCGCTGGGCAGAGTACAGTGTGAGCTGGTCATTTCATTGTCCCCTGCCAGTGGGAACAGCAGGTGTGCATCCAGAAAGGAACACAAAAGGTTCATCCCAGAGGGTGAAGGTTAAAATCCCTGGGAGTACGTCATGATCGATATCTGATGCTTCTCAGTTCTCATGTCGTGTCCTCTGAGAAGGCCTTCCCATCCCCCAGTGAGGAGGAGCATCTGCTCTCAGGCCCATTGGCAGTGGCTGTGTGTGCCTGTCACTCAGTGAGTGCATAATTTGTGTTTCGATGCCCTTCTCTCCTCACAGGATGGCAGCTGCCCGGGGGGTAGAGGGTGCAGCTGTCACGTATACTGCTATATTGCAGGGCCTGGCTCAGAGTCGGGGCTTGGTAAGCTTGTGTTGACTGAATACAAAAGAGATGAGGCCAGACACCGTGTCTCACACCTGTAATCCCAGCACTTTGGGAGGCTGAGGCAGGTGGATCACTTGAGCCCAGGAGTTAGCAACATAGTGAAACCGCATCTCTACTAAAAATACAAAAATTAGTGGGGCGTGGTGGCAAACACCTATGGTCCCAGCTACTCGGAAGGCTCAAGTGAAAGGATCTTTTGAGCCTGGGAGGTCAAGGCTGCAGTGAGCTGTGATTGTGCCACTTGCGCTACAGCCTGGGTGACAGAGTGAGACCTCTCTCAAAAAAACAAAACAAACAAATAAACAAAAAACAAAGAAAAGATGAGAACCAGAGAGATTTGATTTTTAATTTACCTTTTCTGTTGTTTTTTGAAACTGGGTTCCTTCTGTCACCCAGCCTGGAGTGCAGTGGCATAATTTCAGCGTACTGCAACCTCAATCTCCAGTGCTCAGGCACCTCTGTTTCCCAAGTAGCTGGGGCCACAAGTGCATGCCACCACACCCAGCTAATTTTTTTTTTTTGAGACAGAGTCTCACTCTGTCACTCAGGCTGGAGAGTGCAGTGGTACGATCTCAGCTCGCTGCAACCACTGCCTCCCAGGTCCAAGCACTTCTCCTGCCTCAGCCTTCAAGTAGCTGGGATTACAGGCACCCACCGTCATGCCTAGCTAATTTTTGTATTTTTAATAGAGATGGGGTTTCACCAAGTTGGTCAGGCTGGTCTCAAACTCCTGACCTTAGGTGATCTGCCCACCTTGGCCTCCCAAAGTACTGGGATTACAGGTGTGAGCCACTGTGCCTGGCCTATTTTTTAGTATTTTGTAGGGATGGGGGTTCTACTGTGTTGCCCAGGTTGGTCTCAAACTCCTGGACTCAAGCAATCTTCCTGCCTTATACCCCTAAAGTAGCCAGCACACCAGCTCATTTTTAATTCTTTTTTTTTTTTTGAGATGGAGTCTCGCTCTGTAGCCCAGGCTGGAGTGCAATGGTGCAGTCTCGGCTGACTGCAACCTCCACCTCCCGGGTCCTGGTTCAAGCAATTCTTCTACCTCAGCCTCCCAAGCAGCTGGAATTACAGGCATGAGCCACCACGCTCAGCTAATTTTTGTATTTTTTAGTAGAGACAGGGTTTCACTATGTTGGCCAGTCTGGTCTTGCACTCCTGACCTCGTGATCCACCCGCCTCGGCCTCTCAAAGTGCTGGGATTACAGGTCTGAGCCACTGCGCCTGGCCTTAATTATTTTGAAAGACGGGTCTCACCCTGTTGCCCAGGCTACTCTCAGATTCCTGGGCCCAAGGGATCCTTTACCTTGGCTTCCCAAAGTGTTGGATTACAGACAGCTATGAGATTTAATTTTTGTGCCCGGCTGAGATTTAATTTTTTCAAAATAACAAGACTGCTATAGACATTGCTAGAGAAGAAAGCTGCTGTGATTTTGCATCTTCAGGTGTTATGTGTGTGCCTGCATGATCCGCTGCAGCCCCAGGGGCAGGTGTTCTATCTTCTCAACTGTGAGACTTTTTGAGTGTCCCCTCATTAATGCATTTGTTTTCTCAGAGGTTTTGTTAGTTGATACTCATCTTGAAGATAATTTAGGGCCGGGCGTGGTGGCTCACGCCTGTAATTCAAGCACTTTGGAGGCCAAGACGGGTGGATCACCTGAGGTCGGGAGTTCAAGACCAGCCTGACCAACATGGTGAAACCCCGTCTTAAAAAAAAAAAAAGAAGGAAAGAAAAAAGAAGATAATTTAGGATTCAAGGAATTTCTTTTGGAATCCTAAGCCTGAATTCCCCCCCACCCCCCACAACTAATCATGAGCCCAAAGGAGGAGGAAAAGGGAATTTGAACCTTCACCACCCACAGTCCCATTCTTAAACTGAATCAGTAATTGAATGCTATTAAGCAAAATTAATTTCCCTCCTGCAGGAAGGTTTATGATGAATGAAAGGATTGCTGATCTGGCAGGAAGCCAGGCTTCCCTCTGCTCATCAATATTTCAGAGCCACAGGCAGTGTCAGGAAGGTAGCTGTCCTGGCTTGGCTGACCTTGAGCATGCATGAAGATAGGATCTGGCTAGGGAGGTTATACTGAAAGGGCTTATTACAAGTCACTTAATGATAACTTCAGTGAAATTTGCAAAATGCACCTGTGGGTTCATTGAATTTACACCCTCAGCTAGTGGGAGGCTCCCCCAGCTGGTTCTCTGGGACCAACTTGAGACTAGTCCCAGTGGAGGTCACAGCTCTGTGCAGAGCTGAAATGTTTCATGCTGGCTCTCTGGGGGGAAACATTCCTGATTTGTAGCATCTGCCAATTCCTGTGATGTCAGTATACTCCCACCATAGCCAGGTTACAGCTGCTGACCCTGGGAATCGCTGGAGCAAGCCAGCTCCAGCTCACGTCTGGGGCCATGCTGCTCCCACGTTTTTTCCTGGTGATCGGAGGAGAGCCTACTCAGTGGACTTGATTCCAGAGAGTGATGTGCCTCTGAGTGGTGTGCTCATCTGCATTAGAGGTGGCCTCTTGACTGAGAGGGTGCCTGAATGAGGCCTGCTTTTAAAAATGGGAAGTTAACGAGCGCTTCATTTTCTTTCTTCTCTAGCTGCTATTAACTTAGCAAAGCTGAAACTTTTCAGACATTATTACGTCTTGGTAAGTAAAAAAAAAAAAAAAAAAAAAAATCCTCTATCTATAAATAAAATCAATTCAAAGAGTAGAGCAAATGGACTTCCAAAGAATTGGTGAAAGCACAAGATGTGCCAACTGGAGCTGACTGGTGTGGCTTTTCTTTCTTTTCTTTTTTTTTTTTGGGGGGGGAGACAAAATCTCGCTCTGTCACCCAGGCTGGAGTGCAGTGGCATAATTTCAGTTCACCGCAACCTCTGCCTCTCGGGTTCAGGTGATTCTCCCTGCCTCAGCTTCCCAAGTAATTGGGATTACAGGCGTCTACCATTACACTCGACTAATTTTTGTATTTTCAGTAGAGACAGGGTTTCACCATGTTGGCCAGGCTGGTCTCAAACTCCTGACCTCAAGTGATCCTCCTGCCTCTGTCTCCCAAAGTGCTGGGATTACAGGCATAAGTCACTGTGCCTGGCCAGTATGGCTTGCTTTTCTTCTTCTTTTTTTTTTTTTTTAAAGACTGAGTCTCTCTATGTTGTCTTAGGATGGACTCCAACTCCTGGGTTCAAAAGATTCTACCGCCTTGGCCACCTGAATAGCTTGGACTGCTTATGCACACCACCATGCCTGGCTTTCATTTTATAAAATCTACTTATGTCTTTTAAAATGGGAAATTAAATACCTGAGTTACATCTTTTTTTTTTTTTTTTTTTTTGAGACCGTCTCCCTCTATTTCCCAGGCTTGAGTGCAGTGGTGCAGCCTTGGCTCACTGTAACCCCAGGTTCAAGCCATTCTCCTGTCTCAGCCTCCTGAGTAGCTGCGATTACAGGCACACGCCACCATGCCCAGCTGATTTTTTTTTTTTTTTTGGTATTTTTAGCAGAGACGGGGTTTCACCATATTGGTCATGCTGGTCTTGAACTCCTGACCTCGGGTGATCCACCCACCCTGACCTCCCAAAGTGCTGAGGCGACAGCCGTGCCCAGCTGGTGAGTTGCATCTTTTTAACTTTAGTTTTAAATTTGGCTTTAAGTAGTCAGAAAAGTAACACATGCTTGATGTGAAAAGAAAAACAAAAACTGCAGAGGTTTTCGAAACAGCACAAGCCCTGTACGAGCCGGGTCTTCCCCTCTCCACGGTGATTACTTTTAACAGCTTGGTAGTTATTTCTGGGTTTTTTTCACTAGGCATTTGCCATGAATACCTGCTCCTTTGACTTGCTTTACTTTTTTTTTTTTAGACAGAGCCTCACTCCTGTTGCCTAGGCTAGAGTGGCGTGATCTTGGCTCACTGCAGCCTTGACTTCCCAGGCTCAGGTGATTCTCCCACCTCAGCCTTCCAAGTACCAAGTAGCTGAGACTATAGGTGTACACACACCACCATACCTGGCCAATTTTTTTTTTTTTTTTTTGAGTTGGAGTCTCATTCTGTTGCCCATGCTGGAGTGCAGTGGTGCCATCTTGGCTGACTGCAATCTCTACCTCCTGGGTTCGAGTGATTCTCCTGCCTCAGCCTCCCCAGTAGCTGGGATTACAGGCACTCACTACCACACCCAGCTAATTTTTGTATTTTTAGTAGAGCTGGGGTTTCACCATGTTGGCCAGGCTGGTCTCAAACTCCTGACCTCAGGTGATTCACCTGCTTTGGCCTCCCAAAGTGCTGGGATTACAGGTGTGAGCCAGCAAGCCTGGCCCTGGCTAACTTTTTGTATTTTTTTTTTTTTTTTTTTTTTTTTTGAGACGGAGTTTCACTCATGTTACCCAGGCTGGAATGCAATGACGCGATCTCGGCTCACCGCAACCTCCGCCTCCTGGGTTCAGGCAATTCTCCTGCCTCAGCCTCCTGAGTAGCTGGGATTACAGGCACGCACCACCATGCCCAGCTAATTTTTTGTATTTTTAGTAGAGACGGGGTTTCACCATGTTGACCAGGATGGTCTTGATCTCTTGACCTCGTGATCCACCCGCCTCGGCCTCCCAAAGTGCTGGGATTACAGGCTTGAGCCACCGCGCCCGGCAACTTTTTGTATTTTTAGTAGAGATGAGGTTTTGCCATGTTGCCCAGGCTGGTTTCAAACCGCTGAGCTCAAGATATCCACCTGTCTTGGCCTCCCAAAGTGCTGGGATTATAAGCAGGAACCACTGCACCTGGCCACTATTTTTATCCATTTAGAAAAATGGGATCACAGTATCATGTTTTTCTGCAGCCGTTTTTGTTTTAGTCATTTGAGAAAACCAGTTACATGTTGTGGTAGTAAATTTCCCTTAAGAACAGAAAAATTAAGACGGCTGTTTTAAAACCCAGAAACAGGACTCTGATGGACATGAAAAGTTGTATCAGCTGGCACCAAGAGACGGAGCTTGCTAGAAATTGTTAGGATCATAGTTTCTTGGAATGTAGAAGGGACAGGCCTCCCAGAGTTAGTTTGCTTCCTGCCTCTTAAAAGAACATTTCCAGGTCTCCCCTCTGTGAGTTAGCCATTGTCACTTCGGACAGTTCCTTTGCTCAAGCAAACAGCAGACTTCAGTGGTAGAGAGCGATGCAAGAGCAGACACTCCTCTTGGGGTTGCTTTTTTTTCTTTTCTTTTTTCTTTCCTGTGGATTTTATGTCATCCACCAGACAGACAGAGGTCATCAAAGAACCCCTCTGGTTGCATGCGGTGAGAATGAGTGGTCCTTGATGGCCAGGCCAGCTGAGCTCAGCCCCCATGCGCAGGCCATGCTCTACTGGCCAGCACATTGAGTGCTTATCACCTTCGTTGCTAGAGAACTTGGTAGTATTTGTATTTCTATGAGTGTGGACCACAGATGCTTACAGCATCTGCCAGTGAAGAGGACAGAAGTCAGTAATTTCCCTTTGTGGCTATATATCGCTATCACCACCGTAAATATTCCTCAAAGCCTGAGAATAAGAAATACAGTCTTTGGAGATTGAAATCAAGGGCGTACGTCTGTGCAGAGGGTGAGGAAGGGTTAACAACAACCCAACTGAAGTGTCTTGTGCTCCCCGTGGGTGTGGCTGTTACCAATAACTTGGTCAGGTAGAGAAAGTGAGAAATTCTTTCAAGTGTAACTAGCAGGGTAGCCATGTCTCTCCACTGCATGTATTAATTCACACTGTACGTGTCACATGCTTTTCTTTGAATGAATCTGTTTTCTGTTTCCTAGTTCATTTGTGAAAGAAAATTGTTAAAAGTGGTGTCCTGACTTTTATGTTGATTTGATTTCCTGTTTCTTTCCTCTTCACACAGATTGTGTGTTACATATACTTCACCAGGATCATTGCCTTTCTCCTCAAGCTTGCTGTTCCATTCCAGTGGAAGTGGCTCTACCAGGTATGCTGCTCACAGGCATAATGCCAGAGGATTTATGCCTGAGGATAAAGTCTTGAAGTGTAACTTAACGGTTGTTACTAATTTGTCTGGGAATGACTACTAAGACCTTCCATCTCTTCTTTTTTTAAACTTTTTTTTTTTTTTTGAGACGGAGTTTCACTCTTGTTACCCAGGCTGGGGTGCAATGGCGCGATCTCGGTTCACCGCAACCTCCGTGTCCTGGGTTCAGGCAATTCTCCTGCCTCAGCCTCCTGAGTAGCTGGGATTACAGGCATGCGCCACCATGCCCAGCTGATTTTTTGTAGTTTTAGTAGAGATGGGGTTTCACCATGTTGACCAGGATGGTCTCGATCTCTTGACCTCGTGATCCACCCGCCTCGGCCTCCCAAAGTACTGGGATTACAGGCGTGAGCCACCGCGCCTGGCCCTAAACTTTTTTTTATATTTATTTTTTAGTTTTTGAGACAGGGCCTCACTCCGTTACCCAGACTGGAGTGCAGTGGCACGATCTTGGCTCACTGCAACCTCCACCTCCTGGGTTCAAGCGATTCTCCTGCCTTGGACTCCCGAGTAGCTGGGAGTATAGACGTGTGCCACCACGCCCGTCTAGTTTTTGTATTTTTAGTAGAGACGGGGTTTTGCCATGTTGGCCAGGCTGGTCTCAAACTCCTGACCACAGGTGATCCACCCACTTTGGCCTCCCAGAGTGCTGGGATTACAGATGTGAGCCACCTCGCCCGGCCTCCTTCCATCTCTTCTATCTCGTCTATAATTGAGATGATCTGTTTGTCCAGAAATCCTGCTGGATTCCATGCGGAATCTGAAAATAATTGCATTTTTTTAGTTTTCAGTCTTAGAAGTCTGAAGAGAAAAGCTTTAGGCAGAGAAAGATTTACCCTGAATAATTAGAACTTAGATGCGATGGGGTCTTTTCCTTTAGTTACAGGGCTTAGAGTAATTAGAGTTCAGGCTTCCCTTCTTCTTTGCCCATTTTATTATTTCAGTAATAAAGCATCTTTGCAATAAACTAGAACCAGCTTAGCTACTAGAGTAAGCCACCAAGTGACTTTCTTGCGCGCTACAGAGACTGTAGGAGGATGTGGGTATGTGATGTGCTCTTAAAAGCCACCAGTGAAGACCCGTTAGAGCAAAGCAGAGCACGGACTCTGAAATGTCATCCCTGGGCAGAATGCTCCTAGTTGAGGCTTCAGCAGGTCTAAGGAAAATGCCCTGTAGCAGGAACTGGTATTTGAGTGAAGAACCAGTGAGTGGTGGGTTGTGGGGAAGTATGTCAGTTTGTTTAGTTCCATTGCTTTCTGAAGAACAGTGTTGCTAATCTCTTTGTTTTGGGTGGTTTTTAAACTTGCAGCTCCTGGATGAAACGGCCACACTGGTCTTCTTTGTTCTAACGGGGTATAAATTCCGTCCAGCTTCAGATAACCCCTACCTACAACTTTCTCAGGAAGAAGATGACTTGGAAATGGAGTCTGTGTAAGAAATCTTTCTTCACTCTTCCTTAGCCCTGACCCCTCTGCCTAACTAAAAGCAGCGCAGTGTGAATCAGGCCAGCTGCCCTCAGCATTTCGTGGCTCCAGGGGTGGTTCCTCTGTTTTTAAGGGAAGGAAATGGACGCTGGAGCCCCAGGCTGTCTGTCTTAGTTTGAAGTACAGTATCTGCCAGGCCTTGCTGGGTCTTGTCAGGGATGATGGAACTCGCCATCTACTGAGCATCACTGGAGCCTGCTTCCAAGAACTCGGTGGCACGGACTTAGGGATATTCATGGCCCGTTCACAAGGGAGAGGAAGGAGCCCACTTTCTGTCAGGCTGCCGTCAGGCGCTTATGTCTGAAAATGGAACCTTCTGAGTCATCTCTGAGCCTGCTAATGATCCTCAAACATCCTCTATCATCAGATAACTACGTGGCTTTTCACAGCACAGTGACTTTGACCTATATTCGAGCACTAATCCGAGTCACGGAGTGAGTGATTCTAGGGTCCTATTTTCTGGGAAAGGGCAATCATTGTCTAGAAAAATGAATAGTGATTAAGCATATTTGCTTGTTAACGCTGAAATGTGAGAAGCCAGGTCAATTGCTGTGTTTGATGATTAGCCTAAGGCGGAGTGTTCTCTTCTTCTTTCATTGGTATTGTGTTCTGCCCCCAGCCCTGGCAGCCTTTGAATTCTTCTCAATTCGGAGGCTGAGACTGGCCCATGCTCTGGTTGGCTGTCAGCAGGTCAGGCAGCATGGGACAGCTCTCTGTGCTCAGCTCCATGGCAACAGTACATGGAAGGCAGGTCCTGCCAAGGGCCCCAAACAGCCTCTCCCCATGCAGAGAAGACAGTGGAGAGGAGTGCAGGAGGACCATCAGCTGCCTTTCCCACAAGTAGCAGGATCTCAGCAAGTGTCTCTTGGTTGAAGAGGCACACATGTGTCTGTCTGGTAACCAGCAGCATCAGGAAATAACCTAAAACATGTTGTGTGTGTGATTCCCCTGCTGGGAGCCTTTCGCTTGGTGCCTCTGCGTTCTGCGGGCTTCCTCGGATAGGCAGCTAGAAGCCGAGTGGCTGGGTCACAGCATCTTCTCCTTTACACCATTGCACTCCACAGTGGTCACGGGGGTGCCCGCTGCCCACACCCTTTCCCTCAGCCATCACCTCTTGGAGCCTGGATACTTATGAAGATCTTTTTGTTTCATGGCAAAATTTTTTTAAAATTTTGTTTTGGTGCTTGTTTTCTCTCTGACAAACAGGAGAGAGACCTGCTGACAGCCAAGCAGAGCCTAGCATGGGCCAGTGTGGACCACGCGGCTGCCCCCAGTGCAGCCATTACCCCACCAGTCCTGCCACAGCTTCTCTGTCTGGGCCTGGGAATGAGGGCACAGTCCAAAGTAACACTGACCTTCTGTCTCTTTCCCCGTCCGTTTCTTTGACCATCTCTCTTTAGGCCTACCAATTTTGGCAACAGAAGTTATCGGTAAATAATCGGCAAGTTAAAAGTATTGGATGTGATTTCTATTTTCAGGCTTAGTAGCTGCCTCCTAGGCTCTGTGTATCCTCAATGATCTGAATAACTTGTCATCTTGAGGAGTGAGAATGGAAAGAAGTGTTTGGTGTGTGGGTTCCTGGCCAGGAGGTTTTCTCCCCGGGGGTTCCATTCCAGAATGCTGTCCGCATGGTTGTTGTTCACCCTTCACAGCTTCCTGCATTCTCTCAGCTGGGCGGGGAACAAACGTGGAAACGGGGATTGGAGACTAATAGAGTTGTCTCTTCACCAGGTCACCCCACATTTCCTGAAAACACTTTTTAGTTAGAGAAACGGATGTATCCATGGGCCACTTAGGCCCGAGCCACATGTGATTGCAGTCTTGTGTGGCAGAAGAAACCTGTGTCCCATTTGGCACTTTTGGTTGCAAGCACAGAGACTTGGGGCTTTGTGAGGAAAGGGTGTTACAGTTTCGATGTCAAGGAAGGAATGCTTATCTGCAACGTAGGTTGCTGATCGGATGTTGGCCCTTCAGCTGTTTGCCTCTTAAGTGCTTGCACCAAAACTAGGACACCCAGTGAGGTGCCTGTGAAGTTGCTGAAGCCCCACCGCCACGTGTCTCTGCCAGGGAGGCTTTCAGGTGTTCATCTGACCCAGGTTTCTCTTCTCCCTGCAGCAGAGCTTGAGCTCCCGGGAGCATTGCTGGCACCCATCTGCAGAGGACTAGCCAGGCTTCCCCACAGCATGGGGCCCCAGGTGTTCCTTCAGCTTCCCGGAGGCTTGTTGGGCAAACAGGCTGCAGTGCCCACCCCACCCTGGGCATCTGCCATCAGCTTTCTTCCTCTCCTTGAGTTCATTCCTGCTGCTCCCAGTCCTGGCCACATGCTGAAGCTCCATGTCACCTGCCCTGCCTGTGACACCCTCCTGTGCTCCCGCATGCCCTTAACTTCTGTTCTCTCTCTTCTCCCAGGACTCACCCTCACCCAGCCTAGGGCTGCCTCTGCCCCTCGCTGCCCCTGGCCCCTCCTGAATGCCAGGTGCCTCTGTCCTGCTCCCTGTCACCTCAGACTTGAAGCGGCACTCCTGTTTTACACCAAGCTGGCCCCGCCCCAGCATTCCCACAGGCCTTGGCGGCACTGACATCTGCCCAGTCTTCCGCAGCCATGGCTGAAACACCTCCCTCTTGCTCAGCCCGTGTGGAGCACTGACCACGTCTGAAGGCCCCACTTTGTGCTTCTCACCCCTGCCCCACCCCACCTCTTTGTCTCATGCCTGGGGTTTGTAGTGGCTGACCTCTTCACCCCCGATCCTCTTCCCTTCCCCTCCATCCTTTTATTGCCTGGAGACAGGGTCTCACTCTGTCGCCCAGGCTGGAGTGCAGTGGCACTATCACAGCTCACTGCAGCCTTGACCTCCCCGGGCTCAGGCAGCCCTTCCACCTCAGCCTCCTCAGTAGCTGGGACCACAGATGCACGCCACCATGCCCAGCTAATGTTTTTGTATTTTTTTGGAGAGACAGGGTTTTGCTGTGTTTCCCAGGCTGCTCCCAAATTCTGGGCTTAAGTGATCCTCCTGTCTCAGCCACCCAAAGTGCTGGGAATGCTGGTGTGAGCTGCCTTGGGAATACAGGTGCGCTGGCCCTTCCTGTCTGTTCCTCTGAGCTCTAGAATCACCTGTAAAGTGTTTTTGCAATGCCGGCTTCCTGGCTGCGCTCCCGGAGACTCTGATTCTCACTTCAGAATCTGTGCTTTTCTCACTCCCCAAGGCAGTCTGAGCAGGAGGCAGGGGTGAGAACCCCTGGAGTAAGAATCAGGGTCATCCTTGGGTGACGAGGCAGACCGGGCCCTTGACAGCCCTGCCGCCCTGTGTCCACCCATGCCTCTCTTCCTGCCACTCTCCTTTCCAGACTGGCTGGAGGTATTAAATATATATACTGTAGGCTGGGTGTGGTGGTTCATGCCTGTAATCCCCGCACTTTGGGAGGCTGAGACGGGCGGATCACCTGAGGTCAGGAGTTTGAGACCAGCCTGGCCAACATGGTGAAATCTCTTCTCTACCAACAATACAAAAATTAGCTGGGCATGATGGTACGTGCCTATAATCCCAGCTACTCAGAGGCTGAGGCAGGAGAATCACTTGAACCCCAGAGGCACAGGTCGCAGTGAGCCAAGATCGTGCCATTGTACTCCAGCCTGGGTGACAGCGAGATTTCATCTCAAAAAATAAAATAAAATAAAAATCAAAAAATATATAAATATATATACACTGTGACCACTTAGCACTCCTGGACTTTCTAGAAAAGGTCCTGGGTTTTTCCTCCATGCTTTTTGCTTGTTATATTTCTTCTTTTTTTTCTGGCTTTTATATTTCTTCTTCCTGACTTCCTCCCATCCATCTTGGGGCTAGCTCCGCGTGTCTCATGACAGGCTTCCTGGCTTCCCAGTTTCCCAGCAGAGGGGATTCTTCTCAGCCCAAGCCATCACCCAGCTCGGTTCCCAGCACTCCTGTCTCTGTTGGAAGCCACCCTGCAGTGTCGTTCTGGAAGACCATCTCTCCCCTCCTGCGCTGTGGGCCCCCTAAAAGCGAGAAGTCCATTTTTTCCCCCTCTGTGACCTAGCACAAGGCCTGTCTTGAAGAATGAAAGTTGTTTTCTCTCTTGGCCCACCATGTGGAGAGGAGTATTTTCTTAGAGAAGGACAAGTAGAATATGTTGTCCCCAAGTCTGCTGTCGGGCCGTACTGGGGTCGCAGGGAAGGTGCTTTACCGCTTAGTGTCAGTGTGCACTGAACTGCTTGTCCTTTTTAACAAGACGCAGTGATCATGGGACAGTGCATGATTACTGGAGTGTTTCTGGAAGACGTGGGGTCGCATTTCTTTGTGGTCTGAGTAGCTGTGAAGAGGCACGGGGGCTACTGCGGGGCTCAGGGCAGGGGGCTCTCTGGCTTGTGCAGAGGCCCCACCTCCTGTGTCCTCATCTAGAGAAGGTCCCTTCAGGAGCAGCCTTGTGCACATGGATCCCTCCTGGGGGGAGTGTCTTCCTAAGGAGGCCAAGCCTGAGACAGGAGCCAGCTGGCAGGAAGTGATGCTGGGCAGCTTCAGCTGAGGCATGTTCCTTCGTCTTGGGGTATGCTTTTAGACTCACAGCATCTGTGGGATCCAGCCACATGCCTTGTCCCAACTTTGCTGTAAGTACAAATAACCAGTGAGTCTGAAGGAATCATTTGAGAAAGGTCTCAACCCGGGGCGGAGGGAGGGATTCTTTGAGCTTGGGTGCGGTAGCACCTTGATGGCAAGAATGAAGAGACGAGGAAGAGGGGGAGGTTTTCTTCCCTTACCCCATACAAACATTTACTTACCATGAGGTCCGGCTGCATGCACTCTAGATGGGTCACATATAAGGCCCCTTTGTCACCATTTGTAGGGAAAGGGATGAGGTAGTTGGCAGGGGGATGGGTTGGGTCCTTGGAGAGAGAGTGTTGAGTTAGTTGATTGATTTTACTGATGAGGAAATTTCTTTTGGTCCACAGTAGGGGAGCATAAGTCCTCATTGTTTCCTAGAGTACAGGGAGATGGTGGGCCCAGTGGCTTTGGACCCCGTATGTCTCCCTAGTTCTCCCGATACTTACAGAGCCTCCCAGTTCCTGCACAGACCAGCCCACCTTCTGTGAGGCAAGAGATCATCCTCTTGAGAAGGTGGGGCCTGTGCGTGTGATTGCTTCTGATGGAAGGGCTGCCTTGCATAGCTCACGCCCTGTGACCAGCGGTCTTCCATTCTTAATTCTCGAATTCAGTGAATGGCTCCATGGAGCTTCTCAGAGCCAGGCACCAGCAGACGGAGCCCTGGGAGCTCACAGAGTGGAGGCCGAGGCCATGCACCGATGCACAGCCATGTGACGTGGCCCCAGCCTGCAGAAGACAGCCAGTTCTCTGTCTACATGGCCAAAGAATCTGTGGTCCTAGAAGGCTCCTCTAAACCTGTGATTCTGTCCCCTGGCCCAGAAATGATCCATTGTGGCTGGTTATTAAAATATGTGGTTGGCTAATGAGCTTTCTTTTCTGAATGTCAGTTAAGACTCAGATTTCAGTCTCATAACCATAACGTCACATATCTATGCACCACAAAAATGACACAAGCTGTGACAAAAAGATTCATGACGATTGTAATAATGATAGCTGGTGTTTATTAATTAGGCGCTTTGGAGAATCTTGTTTTCCCTCATGACAGTTCTAAAAAGTGAGAATTATTTATTATACTTAAGCATAGAGAGGTCAAGGGACTTGGCCAAGGTTATACAGCTAGTAAGGAACAGGCCAGGAATCAAACTTAGATTTGTGTGTTTCGAACACTAACACCCATTATCAGTCCTAACCACCGCCCTGTGGTGGAGACGGCCTTTTACACTAAGAGACTGTGAGATGTTCCTTATCTTCTTTTTCTTTCCTTGTTTAGCGTGACGACATCTGGGGTGATGGAAAATATGAAGAAAGTAAAGAAGGTGACCAACGGCTCTGTGGAGCCCCAGGGCGAGTGGGAAGGCACCGTGTGACAGAGTCGACCTCGAGGATGGCACTGTCCAAGGAAACTTTTATTCACAGTCCTGTTGGAGAGCGAGAGCAGCTCCTACAGTGAACTATTGGCACCTCCGACAGTGACACCAGGGCACGTGGCTGGGAGCACAGTGCCGCGGAAACCTGACTCTGTACTCTTCTTTTATGGAAACTGGATCTGTGGCTGGTTAGAGGCAGCTGGAGTCCTCCTTCAGGTGGGAGTGGGAGGAGGGGCACAGGGAGGGGGAGAGGAAGAGAAAAGGAATTACTCATTTTAAATTTAGGTTTCTTTTTTTCTTCTTCATTTGGGAGCTCTAAGGTGTATGCAGTTGTGAACCCAGGTGTGGGGCAGTGGTGAGGACGACAGGTGGAGGGGGAAGGAAGGTGTGAGGTGTCTGTCTGATGCTTTAGGAAATATCTATAAGGACACCGGAACTTAGGAAGGAGGAAGGGGAGGGTGCCATCGCCTCTTCAGGAGGCAAACATGAATGAAAACAGGTGATTTTAGAAAGCAGAGTCAAAACCCAGCTTCGGATGTAGCACCTGCCCCAGGATTCCTGCCCTGAGCATTGCCCAGACCCTGAGAGTGACTGGGAAGGCCGCTCCTGAGGCCCAGTGGCCTTCTTTCCAACAGGAATAGGAGGCTATGATGTCACTGTCAGGTCATGCCTGTGGCATAGTCCAGGTGGTGGGAGGGGGTTGAGATATTGCCTGATGGATGGAAAGAAACATTTTTAAGCTCAAAAAGCATTATAGTCTCTGGAGTTCCCTGGACATCCACTCCCTAGCTGCCCAGAGCACCCCCTCCCTGACTGCCCAGAGCACCCCGTCTCGTTTCCCTTCATGCCTGTGGCTCTGTTTTGTGTGATCAGAATTTGGGAGGAAATGGAAAGGAGTTTTCCTTAAGGAGTAGCTGGTGCAGAATAGGTCGTATTTAAGCCGATACTTAAGTCCAAGCAAATCATCCCCATTAAAAAGCTTCTTGTGTAGGCTAGTAGGATTTCTAAATAGATGAATGCAACAGATTTGGTCCCCGTAGTCCAAGAGTATGTATGTGAACAAAGGGAGCACGATTCAACAGTTTCACTCAGGGATTTGGGGATGGTGAACTATTTCACAGAAACGCAGTGAAGTTCCTTTCCACATTTTCAGAGCCTGGGAATGAACACAGAGCTGCCTAAAGTGAGCAGTATTGCAGTTTAGAGAGAAAAGCATTTGAATATTGGGACAAGCTCAGAAGGTCCTATGTGACTAAGAGCTTAAAAGGAGACCAAAACATGGCCCCATCGCGGATGCTTCTTACTGCCTGGGGGCCGGCTAGGTAGGGTTGTTTCCAGAAGCTGGAGCCTACCCCTGCCTCGGCTTGTCAGAAAGCCACACTGTAGGGGGAACTGGGACCTATCGGGTTGATAATCGTGGTCTCTGGGAGTTGTTTTCTCACCTCTGGCTTAAAAGAGTCAGTGAGAAACCACAGGGTATGAGGTGGCACTTAGGTCACAGGTTTGGGAACTTGAAAAAGTCTCCATTTCAGAAAACAGTTGTTTTCCCTCTCCCGTGCCATTTTCTCTTCCTGAATGACTAGCGAGGAAGCGGGTGTTCTTTTTCTGCACTTTGGTTCTCCATCTGGGTGCTCTGGAGGTGCGGGCTGCCTTCTGAGGCAGGTGCTCCTGGAGGCTGCTATGGACGAATAGCACGCCCCTCCCCAGGCCACGGGTGCCCACCTGTCAGCAGGTATTTGAGGGAGGCATCCGTGTCTTCCCAACTTCAGGAGAAGAGTAAACGTGCCCTAAGTGTTCACTTCTGGACCCTTTTAAAGTTAAGTCGGGACTGGACTGTGTGACAGAGGCAGTTGGAGGATGGGAATCTTTTTAACACTTGGTTTTCCTGTGCAGAAACACAATACCAGTTTTTACAGAAATGTGTTGCAGTCTGTGCCTGCCAAAGCCCTCCTCAGTCCTTCCCTCAGAGGGACACGTTTGCTATTTCTCCCACAAGCAGAAGTTGTTGATGAGGTGATAGACTCCTTGGCAAGAACGAAAGGTGTGATGAAACCTCCCTGCTCGGAAGGGTCTCCGTGGAGGTGTCCTTATTTCACATGCTGGGTTTTGCCAGCAAGGAAGCCAGGGAGTGGAGGAGCCAGAGGGAGCCAGGAGGGTGTGTGGACAAGCGCTGGAGCCTCAGCCATCAGACTGGCACGGGAATGCCAGCATTGGGTGTTCAGATTCCACGCGTATGTCTGGGCTCGCTCACAGCATGGCAAGTGTCTGCAGTGCTAGTCCTGACCCTTCCGGAACAGCAGTGAACAGATGAGGTAAGACTGTGTTTCAGAAACAAAGATGGCCACAGCCTTCCTGACAAGCAGGTCACCTGGCCGTGTCTGTATTATAACTGGTAAAAGGCTTCAAGTCAGATTGATGATCAAGCAAAGTCAAAACCCCAGGCCAGGACTGGTGAAGCAGGTGGTGGTTCCAAGCTTTTAAAAAATTATTTAAGCTCTCCCTCCTGTCTGTGAATGTATCTTCCCTTTCTCCTTCACTTCATAGCTGTGGCCCACCGTTCATCTCTGCTGTTGCGTGAAGATGACGGATGGAGTCCAAAGCCAAGTGGCTTCACCAGCTGACAAGCCACCCTCCTGTAGCCTGAGCTTCACGGTCTGCTGGCTTCATTGCAATGCGGTGTTTGAATGGTTAAGGCCTTCAGTATTTCAAGGATTGGGCAAAAAATGTCGGATGCACAGAGCAGAGCCGTTGGTGGTATTTATAGCTTTGCTTTGTCCTCCTCACTGTTTCTGCCTACGCCAAATATCCACGTTTCCTTTGAGAAATCTGTGTGGACTGAAAGTGCTGCTGGCTGTGAAATTTAATAAAGTGTGTATGTTTCGCTAGAAAATTATTTCTCGGACAATAAGAACAGTCACTGATCTCTTAATCCTGGCTCTTAACAGTGGCCAAGGACTCCATCGGCCCATTTCTTGGTCCCTCGGTGCTTTGAAATTTAAGTGGCAATGCATTTCATAATGTTGAATATGACTCTGGTGAATGGTAGGAGGCCCTTGTGAGGAGGTGCTTGCTTCAGTGTGAAAGTAGCTCCTGGCCTGAGTCCGTTTAGTTTTCTTTCAAGAAACCACTTTAGAGTAAAACATCCAGGGCTTCCCCGCCCTGAACATGTCCGGCCTGCCAAGGCAGCACACAGCCGCCTAAGTCCCCTTCACATGGCTGTTAGGGTGAGAGCGCCTCCTGCAGGATGACCTCATCCAGCTCTGCACTCTCGTTCCACACCCTCCCTCCCTCTTCCCCCCCCTCCTCCTGCTGCTCCTCCTGCTTCTCCTCTATGATCCCTCCCCCTCCACCATCCCTCCTCTGCCCTCTTTCTCCCTGTGCCTATTGATCCCACATAGGCTCGTTCTGGGCACGCAAGTGAAAGGCTTTGGTGCATTGCGGCGCTTTCTCCCAGTCGCTGTGTGAGAGATGCATTTTCTAAGCCAAGGAGAATTTTCTCAAGGGAGTGCATACTCATGCCATGCATTATTGCTTTGGGCCGTATAGGATGGCCTTCCTCCACAGTAAAGCGGGCGTCATGTTTTGATACTTACAAGAGTCTACTCCAGGCAGCCAGTCCGTGCAGACCGAGGAGGAGCAGAAACGATGCCTGTTGGAATTGCAGGTGGCATTCTGGCCTTCTCCCCCATCCTGAAGCATTTTCTTCGAGGAAGGCTCTTAGAACATTAGACAGTCTGCTGAGGCTGTTGGCCCAGCTCCATACACCCAGTAAAACAGCGGAACAGTTCATGCTTTATGCTGCCAAGCTGCTGGATTTCAAAGGAAGCAGATCCTAGCCCACTCCTCCACCCCTGCTTCCACGCGCCACACTCACCCCTCTGCTTTTCTCCGACCCACCCCTGGCCTTGTGAGACTGACCGTAAGCCAAGTCCAGGATGCCTGTGGCCTGTGGCTTGATTCTGCCCTTTAGGATTCAGCAAGTTAATGGCTCCCCCGCTGCAGAAGTTAGACTTTGACTTGATACCTCTTGGTGTATCAAAAAGGTATTCATCTGGAACTTACTAAATGTTCTGAAAGACCCGCTCTTCACTCCAGTTCTCCCTAGGGTGTTTCTGGCAGGGCATCTTTAAAAGGCATCTACCTGAGTTGACGCTAATACTTGTCACCACCTGGAATGTAGTTATTGGTCGGCAGGCTGAACATACTCCAGATTCCCCCGAGGCCGCTTCTGCAGCCCGGCAATGCATCTGCGCCTCTCTTCATGGTTTACGCTTGAAAAATAGATAATGCTTTTAGATGGCTCACTGCCGGGACGGGGCCCCGCACATCTCAGGCACCGTGTAAAGGAGTGCGCTGAGATGGCGGGGGGTGAGTGGGCAGGGCTTGGCCCAGCCGTCTCAGGGACCTGCTGGTGTTCTGGCTGCAGGTGATCTGCAGGTCGGCCATGTGGGACGGCGTCCTGGCCAGAGTCAGAAAGGTCAGAATGAAACGGAACAGCTAACTCACGCACAGGACAGCTTATTGTGAGGCAGCGTTTTAGATTTGGGAGGGGGCAGCCAAAGGAGATGGGGAACCTCCAGAAGGTCAGCCTTTGGAGCATGTAAGATACTGTTACAGGGTCCAGAAATCATGTCTACACAGGGGGCTTTGACTCTTCCGACAGCTTTTGCAGATCGTACATTGCGTTTGCCTAGTCATGTGACCTCAGAGAAGTCAGACACATTTAATCCAGAAATAGTTTGGTGTGAGGGAGGGCTCGCAGGTCTGTACATAGCATTTGCTTTCCTGGTTAGAGGTTGGGACGCAGAAGCAGTTTCAGTATTTTTTTTTAACATTAATGATCATTGAGTATTTATGTAAACATATAATGTATAACGGGTGGGGGATCTGATCAGGGTGTTGTACAGGGTGAATTCTCTTGCCGTGTTGCAAATGTGTAAAATAAAGATTACCTGGCAGAACCATGCGTGTGAGATCCGGGGAGTCGCCGGCTCCTGGTGCTTTTCTCTCCTCCACATCCCTCTCATAATCTTTTTCTTTGTGGTTTTGGTTCATTAAATTAGTTAACTGCCTCCCACCAGCTCCTGCTGACAATAGTGACACCTACTAGAGAAGTCCCAGGCATCTCAGCAGATCTGTGGCTTCCCCAGTGAAGACCGAGGTGACTGAAAACCATTTGTAGGTTACCGATGTCCGGCTTATGCTGGAGGTGCAGGCGATGCCTCATGAACCGGTGTCAGGGCACTGCTGCCATTTGACAGGAGGTGACAGCAGGGGCCCGGGGCAGAGCCCGCTCTGTGACAGGCAGATGTGAACCTCCTCCTGGCATCGTTATCAGTAGCTCTCAGTTACCCTACATTGTGAGAGAAACCCAGGATTTCAGACTCAAAGCATTTTTAGAAGTCATTCAGTCCCAAAGCCCGTATTTTACTAAGAATGTTTTAAATTGAGGCATATTTTACCTACAGTAGAATCCATCCTTTTTTTTAGTGACATTTTGGAGACAGAGTTTCGCTCTTATTGCCCAAGCTGGAATGTAATGGCGTGATCTCAGCCCACAACAACCGCCACCTCCAGGGTTCAAGTGATTCTCCTGCCTCAGCCTCCCAAGTAGCTGGGATCACAGGCGTGCTCTACCATGCCCAGCTAATTTTGTATTTTTAGTAGAGACGGTTTCTCCGTGTTGGTCAGGCTGGTCTCGAACTCCTGACCTCAGGTGATCACCCGCCTACAGCCTCCCAAAGTGCTGGGATTACAGGCAGGAGCCACTGCACTCAGCCAGAATCCATCCTTTTTAAATGTACAGTTTGTTACATTTTGGCAAATGGATGTAACAGTCCTGAGGCCTCCACCACAGTCGAGATCCAACATCCATCCCCGTTACCCCACGCAACCCCCTTTTGCCCCTTCCCAGTCCAAACTGCCCCCTTTCTGAAACTACCATAGCCCCGGCTCTGATTCTCCCATAGTCCTGTTTGCTTTGTCTAGAACTTCACATGAATGAAACCGTGCCAGTACCTCTTTTTGTGTGGGGCTGCTTTCACGCAGCATGCGCATGCTGATGTGTGATTCATCCCTCCAAAGCCCTGCCTTCAAAACTACAAAAATTGGGGCCTAAAGAAGGTTCTGCCACTGCCCACCCACATCTTTTCCCCCTTTTCCCCCAGCTGGTGTCAGAGCTGAGACAAGAACCAAGGGCTTGGCCCAGTGCCCCGCACAGGAAGGCCTCCGAAAAATGGGTCTGTTGGTTACTGCTGTTGTGCTTATAAAAATGTGAGCATGGGCTAGGTGCAGTGGCTCATGCCTGTAATCCCAGGACTTTGGGAGGCCAAGGTGAGCAGATCGCCTGAGGTCAGAAGTTCGAGACCAGCCTGAGCAATATGGCAAAACCCTGTCTCTACTAAAAACTACATAAATTAGCTGGGCGTGGTGGCACATACCTGTAGTCCCAGCTGCTCGGGCGGCTGAGGCAGGAGAATTGCTTGAACCCTGAAGGCGGAGGTTGCTGTGAGACGAGATTCCACCACTGCAGTGTAGTCTGGGCGACGAGGACGAGACTCCATCTCGGGGCAAGGGGGTGGGGCGGGAAGCGAGCATGAACCTCAGTTGACCAGATCATAGAATTTCAGAATGAAAAGGAGACAGAATCCTGGGCCAGGCGCGGTGGCTCATGCCTGTAATCTCAGCACTTTGGGAGGCCGAGGCAGGCGGATCGCAAGGTCAGGAGTTTGAGACAGGTCTGGCCAAGATGATGAAATCCCGTCTCTACTAAAGATACAAAAAATTAGCCAGGTGTGGTGGCAGACGCCTGTGATCCCAGCAACTCAGGAGGATGAGGCAGGAGAATCGCTGGAACCCGGGAGGTGGAGGTTGCAGTGAGCTGAGATCGTGTCATTGTACTCCAGCCTGGGCGACAGGGTGAGACTCCATCTCAAAGAAAAGGAGACAATCCACGTCCATGGCCAAGGTTTCCCAGCTAGTAGTGGTCATGCCCCACCCACAGCTCTTGTCCCTGACTTTCCGGAGGCCTTGCCCGTGCCACAAAGAACAAGCAGGAGCATGGGGTGTCCTGAGAGTTCGAAGCCCAGGATTCAGAACCCAGGATGAGAGACGTCAAGGCAACTCAGGAAGGGGACGGCTGAGAAAACAGGAAGGATCTCGCCGATCATCTAATCCCCTGGTCCTCAAACTTAGCGAGCACCCAAGTCCCCCGTAGAGTTCCTGGGGGGCCTGAGAATCAGCATTGCTAACACGCACCCAGCTGGTGCTGACGTGGCCGATCTGGACCACACTAAGAACAGATCCAACCCAGTTCTCTTCCTGAGTCTTGGGCCAGTCTCCAGCTGGCTACAGGGACAAGCGCCCACCTTGCGCACAGCTCCTTTGGGACAGAAGTCAGCGGCTCTGTCCTGCCAGGGGGGCGCTGCAGTGGGGACCAGGTGAGAGACTGCAGGCCGGTGCTGACAGAGGCCTGGCTGTCCTGCTGCTCCCCTGAACCGTCCCACGTGGGGCCCCATTGCTGTTCCAGGTCTCTCTGGCTGCTTCCTCCCCCACCGCTAGCATAGAGCTTTCCCAGTTAGAAACAGCCGCTGACTGAGGATGAGCTTGAGAAGCCTCGGTGCCCATGGGTTTGGCATCAGAAAAGCCTATGCCTACGAGTCTGACCCCAGGTTCAATAGCTGAGCCTTGCACCCTTCTTGGATCAGTATCATCAGCAAATGAGAGCCCTTCAGTGCCTGTGGTGGGCTGGACTTCAACAATATCACCTCAGAGGGTGATGGGTCATTTCAAGGTCATTTCAGAACATTCCCTCTGCCTTCTCTGTTTGCCGAGCTTTCCATCACTAGGCCCTGACTGCATAGACACCATCCAGCCAGGAGCTCCAGTGTGAGGCTGAAGAGACCATCCTGCCCTGCTGGCCCCAAAGACACGGGTCGTACCAAGCCCATGTATTGACTTACCCTCAGTATAAGCACTCACAAGCACTTACTCTGTACAGCACTGTAGCGGCCTGGGCATTGCAGGTGCTTAGTAAATACCGACTGGACACCTGAACCTACACCAGCACCCCGGGTGTAGCGTGGCGACTGGCAGGCATTGGCAGGGGAGCCAGATGCCTCCTGGGCTGGCCGCCCTCATCAGCTGCAGCATCTGATTTCTTCCCGTTGTAATGGAGGCTTGTCACGTCATTGGTCACCTCCGGCTGGTCCACTGTGATTGGCAGCTGTCATTGCTGGAAAAACATAATTGTCGACAACTCTAGTCTGGTGGGCAAACTCTTCTGAAGTCAGAGAAATAACTAACAGGTCCTGATCATTGAGAGGCCGGGGGCTTTCTACTTGTTCTGATAGGCAGTGCAGGCTAAGTCTAGAGCAGATATTGGCTCCAATGTGTGTTTCTGAGAACAGCCCACTGTTCCCGGGCCCCAGGACCCTGGGCAGATCCTCCCTGCCCCTACCTGGGCTCCTTAATTATCGCAGCTGCCGTTGGGTAGCCTGCCCTTCACAAGGAATGTCAGGTGGGCAGACTGGTAGCTGTAGACGCCCTCAGGCTAAGCAACAAGGAGGCCAGGTAAGCGGTTACCCTAATGAGAGAAAGCACGGACTTGTTGGACGCCGGCATTGGCTTTGCCCTCCTATAAGCCACTTGCATGGTAGGACGTTTCTGAGAATCCGTCCTGAGCCCCTTGGAACCGGCCCACCCACCCCCACGAAGGGAAGCACAGTCAGCAGCTGGGAACTGGATGTTGGGGGGTTGCTGTGACCCACTTGGGAGCTGCATCCTAAACAGCTCCTTCCCAGTTTGCCAAAGGAATGCTGACCTTTGCAAAAATGAGGAAGCTGCTCATTAACACACATCTGCAGGAATCAAGCTCGTGCCCCGCATCAGCCATTCGTGCATGTCCTTAGACATCACTGCGTCTCTGTCATTCAGAGCCCTGGTTCCCGTCGGCCCCCGCTGCCTCAGGCTGAACATCATTTAGCAAGCACCAGCATGGGCAGGGCCTCAGGTGAAATGAGTAAGCCTGGCTGTGCCACATGGGAGAACAGTACTGGGGCAGGGAGCAAGCCACACGGCGAAGCCATGGGGCACAGCTGAGCGGCGACACCGCACCTCCTCCCTTCCCGCTCAGGCCTGAGCTAGCGGCTTCCTCCACTGCTTCGGTGCACCTTTGCCGCGGTCTCACTGTCAGTCAGTCCCCTCCGCATCTTCGCCCTTTCCATGTCACATGGCCCCTGCCATCAAACAATCAAGCTTGTTCGTTTTTCCATTAACAAAAGCAAGCTCGACAGCGGCAGCTCCCACCCGCTTCAGAGCCCTCTCGGGTCTGCCAATTCATCTTCCAGCCGTCCCCGGCGCGCTGTGGTCCGGTTTCCACCCTCCACAGTCGGGCTAGAGTTACTCAAAACCTCTGGGGGCCTGGCTATTGTCTTCCTTGACTTTAGCAGCTTGTCACACGGGGGACATTCTTCCCCTCTTGCGATGCCCGCCACCACCCCTCAGACTCTCCAGCAACCAAATTCAGCTTCCTGTGGTTTTCCAGGCTCGCATCCACCCTTCAGGGCCAGGTCCTGGGCTCTGTCCCAGGTCTGACCCTGCCCACTCTCTCCCACTCTCTGGCTTTCTGACACCTAGGAGTTTATTACAGCCTAACGCTGTCCTGAGATCCTCATGGCTCATTCTGCTGCCTCCTGGGCTGGGGTTTTTTGCTTGCTTGCTTGTTTGTTTGAGACAGAGTCTCACTTTGTCGCCCAGGCTGGAGTGTAGTGGCGCAATCTCGGCTCATTGCAACCTCCCCCTCATGGGTTCAAGCAATTCTTCTGCCTCAGCCTCCGAGGTAGCTGGGATTACAGGTGCCTGCCACCATGCCTGGCTAATTTTTTTGTATTTTTAGTAAAGATGAGGTTTCACCATGTTGGGCAGGATGGTCTCGATCCACCCGCCTTGGCCTCCCAAAATG